GGGTGCATTTTTTCACTTAATCACAAACAAATGTTTCTCAGCATGGAAACAGTGTGAAATTCCCTCTGCTAATTCATGATTTTGTATTGTGATAAGTTGGGTGTAACTTTGAAAGCACCCTATTTCAAGTTCATATAAGCTCGTTTTTGTTCTGTGGACTCCCAGCCAGTGCAACTCTGCAGGACAGCACTGACAGTGCACTGTCTTCAGACGGAATATGGGTGCGTTGGATACAAGCTTATTTGGGGGTACTCAGGCATCTATGCAAACATGGTAGTTCAGTTTAGTCACTGGAAGTCCATGCCGAAGGTGCTGTAGTTAGAGAAAAAGGATCATGAAACACTTCTATCAGTAACCAAGTGGTGGGAAGCAACTGATGAGAACATCTTGCTTCATCACGAGTCCGTTTAAATACTATGCTCAGAATTAACTGAAAACAAAGCTTTATAGTCAGAAAGACGACCTGAAACGACTAAGTTTTACTTTACTTCCCAGCCCAGCTTCTTTTCTGTTACATAAAGGTCAACTATGTAAGTTCTGATGACATAGAGAAGGGCAGAAAATACACTATCGCTTTTAACAACCCTGCACAAGGGAAAAATGACTGAGGCTATTGTAGCTCCTTGCCTTGCCTTCTCCGAAATCAGCAGTCTAGACACTCAGCGGGCTTACAGCTGCAGGTGCAGGGAGCTAGGACTCCCAGGTGCAGCTGGCATTTCCTTTCTCCACGACCTTTAAGGTCAACTGGTTAGTTGCTTTGACCACAAATAGAGCTCGTCTTAATTTCTCTAAAACGACCTTAACTTGGTATGAAGCACTTACACGAGGAATGGTGCAGACAAGAAGGCAGCTTTATTAGACTTTGGGGGGAAAAAACATGATTCCATTCAGGAAAAAAAAGCCATTGACACTCGGTAGGCAACACTGCCATCTAGCGGAACGGTAACACACCACCAAGGCTTTCAAGACCAGATAGGAAATGTGAGCGGATTTGCTGGTTTAAATTTTCACCATAAAATGAAGCTGTTAATATGCTGGTCTTCAGAGAACTTCAGATTTTGAGAAACTGTTTATCTGTGAAATGCACAAATGTCTGTGCTTTTCTCTTTTTTTGGGTAAAGAATGAGTTCTTTAAAAAAATAGACCATCAAATTCATTCTCAATTTCAAAATTGTGAAACACTTTTGGGCAACCTGCCTCTTTGAACATCCACCACTCTTACACTCTTTTTCGACAGTCTAAACAGCAACCCCTGATTACAACAGACAGTTTATAAAGAAGCAAAACACAACTGTACAAGAACTACATTAAGTTTACTCATTTCTTCTATTTTTACAATCTAGGGTGCTAAGTATTTGCACTTATTTGAATTCCTCGAAAAAAGCATTAGAACGCACCAATTACAATTTTGCATAAATCACATAACCCAACTCTTATTATGTCTACACAATAACAGTGGAAGATACTGGTTTGAGGATGTGGGAACGCTGCTCTTAATGAATAAAGTAATTCTTCTCAAGGCTTTAATTCTCCTTTATACCCTGGTGTTGCAGTAAATGTGTTGATTTGATGACTTTTATGAGCGTATAAATGAGAATATCTAATGCAACACCTGGGTGAAAAAAGAAAAAGTTGTGAGAATAACATATTATTAATAACCACAATCTCAAATCAGGATCTGTTATTACTGAGATTTTAGATTCTGTTAAGTGCTCTGCTCTTTGGAATATCCACAATGGTTACTAATCTTGCTAATGAGTTCCTCTACTGCAATGTTTCTGGGAATATGGTTGGAGGCACCCACAGATTCTAGAATGCATGAGTCTGACAGGGTCTTCAAACCATATTCTCTGCAAATAACTCAGTTAAGGACTTCAGGAAGAGCCAAGTTCTGGGAAAGAGGTATACAAGTGTAGAGTAAGAAGTAAAATTAAAACATTTTTTAGGTTGCGTTTGTCAGTAGACACAACTGAATGTTTCAATTCTGAGAACCTGAGACTGCCCAGAAAAACAAAATTCTGAGTGCAGGATGTAAGCTGTTACAAAGTCAGAACCCAGCATGTTGTGTTTCCCAAAGCAACGTGACCTGGGGAGTGGCGGGTGGTCTCTGAAGCATACCTGGATGAGGTTCTTTGGAGGGTTACTCTAGACTGCCTCAGTGTGTGCTGAAATCTGCAATAACCTCCCCCACCCCCACCCAGTCTGAAGCCTTCCTTTACTACATATTCAAGTTGACTGCATCTTTCACTTAATGCTATATTTGGGCACCCCTGAAGCCAAAGCAATAAAAGACACTGGGGGAGCCTTTCATTAACTCAAACATGATGCCAAAGTCATCTCCAAAAAAGTTTATTAGCATGATTAAAAACATTTTCTTGAATAATGACAAAAAGAATTTCTAAACATGAAAGAGTATCAGTGGCTATACTTTATAACCAATATTTGCAAGCGAATGGACAACTTTATTGCCAGTCTTCATTTTATTAAAAACAATCCATATCTATCGGTTCCACGTGAAGTCACGACTATTGCTTTGACTGGGAATGAGTTCCTACTGCAATGAAGTATAAAAAATATCTTCCTTAATTGGAGTGTGACCTGCATTACTGAGTCAAGAGTTGATAAAAATCCTCAAAGAGTTGGGTTTTTCTTTTTTAAAAACACTCCTTTTACAAACTACAAAGAAATAATTAGTATTTTGGCTTTTTAAATTCCTACATGATATTTAGAACGGCAGTCCCCAAAGGTCCTCCCTTCACATAATCACAAATGCAGCCCCTCCTCTGGAGTGTACATTCTTGGGGTGGACTCTGAAGACTTCGGCCTCCACGTGTTTATACTGGTTTGAGAACAAAGACAGCGTCGTCCAGAACGTAGTAGTCGTTATACATGTCGCCTTCGCACAGGTATGGCAGTCTGGTGAAAGCTTCGATAACAAACCCAGCTTTTCTGAAAACTTCAGGCAGACTATTCACTTGTTCTTCCCAATTCTGTCCCTTGATTTCCAAAATTTCTGATGGTTTCTCCCACTTGCCACCTACTAAAACGAATAAAAACATTCAGTTAAATCCTTGAACCAACAAGCTATTTAAAGAGACAAGCGGGAAGAGCAGTATCTGTCAAGGACTTGGTGTGTGCCAAGCACTGGGGGCCTTGATGAATCATCTCCTAGGGAGCCCCCGAGGCAGGAGGACAAACAGGTAAGTGCGGACTCAGAAGCGCTGAAGAACCTGCCCAAGCTTGCAAGGTTAACGAGCGTCAGGCAGAAACGTAATCCCAGGTTTGTCTGGATCCAGAGCCCATCCTACAACCTTCTCGGAGAGTTTCGGATACCACCCTCCCTTAGACTGCCTGGGGTGTAATGGTTAATGGTTTGGGAAGACTGCTCATTAAATACTGTAATATTGAAGCAGACAGTAACATATAAAATTTGAAAGAGGGTTCTGGATAAATGCAAGAAAATATAGCACTTACAGTGTGAGCTTATACAATGTATTAACTAGAGAGGTTTATCAGGCGGAAAACAGGCTAATGAAGGATTTTAATTTATAAAAACAGATCATCAGTGTGTTTTTCAAAGGAAGTTGATCTACTCCCTAACTTTTCAGAACAATTTCATAAAAGTTAAGCTCCAGGACCAGAGAGAGGTAGAACCCTAGAACAGATGAATCAACCTAGCATTTCTTGGAAGAGCGACTGAAGTCACGTCAGTCATTTCTAAACCTATGAGCACCAAAGGCCTGAGGCGCTCAGGGGTTAGATAAGGTCTTTAAGTTCACATACACACGAAGCACTGACTGTAGACACATACACAGGGATAATGCTATATATTAACTTCAGGATGCTTCTAGGTACTATGATGATGTAAAAAATATATACGTATATTAAAAGTGTTACTAAATTCAGATTGAGGATAACTTTATATAAATGAGAAAATACATAATGAACAGGTACCCAGGGTACAAACAGAAAGAGGGTTCAGCACCTGCACCCTCTTCTCTGAGTCTTAGTGGGAGGCGAAGCCTGGGGAAGCAGCTTTCCAGCCCGAACGGCTAAGGCACAGGCTTGTGACCTAAACTCAGACACACTCACCTGGAAGGAAGAGCTCGTACCCAGAGAAGTGGGGACGTGGACTCTCTCTGGGGAGCGGAGCACTGGCTTGAGACCAAGCGGGTAGGGCAGCGCTGAGTGGTACTATCAACAGTGTGGCCCATACCACGGCATGTAGTGCTTGGCAGCAGCAGTATGCTTTTCAGACCAGTTTTATAGCACGATTTGGGGCATTTTTCTTGGCTGTGGACCCTAAACATGGTTCTCCAATTCTCCCACCGACTGTGTGAGCTACTCCCAAACCCTTCTGCTTAAGTCAGCCCCAGTCAGTTTCTCCTGCTTACAAAGAAGAACCTGACGACATCTCCCAGCGTGTTGGCGACGGGGCTGGGGGTCATGGGGGGATGACAGACACACAACTGAGGGCCCACACAGTTGTTTCACAGCACATTAAAAATGGGTTACACAAAACTGGGGTACAACTAGTTAAAGCCATACAACTTATTTCTTCATTGTACCATGATGTATTGGTTCACTAATTTCTCTTGTCTCTATGTGAAGACACCTCCTGCTGCTGCTTCTCGATTTCCAACAGCTACCGGTCCAGCACTGGGCACACAGGAGCTGCCCCAGGACCGGTGACAGAACCCCTCTGGAAACTTAAAGGACGAATTATTTGTCAAACAGTACTCCTTTGCATGAGCTACATGTAAATCAAAATCTCACTCAAAACATCGAAGACCTATGAGGATCTGTAAAATCCAAGAATTTATCATGGGAACATTTAGAAACATGCTCCAGGCTAAAATTGCAACTTTAAATCGTGACATTTGGTTACAAACAATCTTTACACAATTTCAGAAAGTTCCTGATGACAGTTCCTTAATAAGAGTTCCTCTCCTCAGTTCTTCCTGTCTAAAAAGAGAAAGAAAAAAAAAGCCAGCTCTCTTCAAATACACACTCTCCCACCACACACACCCACACCCACACCCACACCCACACACACACACACACGGACATGGAGACTGTGAACGGAGGCAAGATCATTCTCGGTCTGGAAATCAATCTGATTCTATTCTATGCGGGTAAGGTTCTTTTTCTTTTTTCTCCTCCATTCTATTTAAACCAATCGCTATTTTTCACCTAATGCATTTATATTTTAAGCACCTAGAGATTAATTTTTAAATGTATAAAATTATGGAACTTGTCTAACATGTTTCCTTTTTCCCCAGAGAAACAGGTAATAAAATAGCTGAGAAGTTTTATATTAACTTTGAAAATTCCTTCTGCTTTAGATAAGAGCCCCTCACCAAACGGTTGAAAATATCCTGAAAATCCCATGTGCTAGTCATCGACAATTTAGCTCCCACGCACTAAACAATACTTGAATATTTTCAAAGAACAGTATTTCTGAAAAGCTGAATTTCTATAAAGTACTTATCATTAAAAAAAAACAAAATGCAATGGCTCCTTACACAGAGAATGACCATCTCATAATATATCTTATTTTTTAAATTCTGCCTATATCTGTTTTTTCCTTATGGAAGATAGTGTTTCCTACATCACAGTTCTAATAATCTCAACATAGTTCTGATAAATCTAAGACTCTCCAATTTGCCCACAAAGTTTGAATCAGAGGGCAGGGAAGGGGGTAAAAGCTGTCAAAATTAATTTTTTTTCATCTGTACAGAAATATATCAAAATGTTAACAGTGGTTTTTTTTGGTGAAAGGCCTATGGGTGATTCCTTGCTTCTTTCAGTAATATTCTATTTTTTCCTAATAAGTATATATTACTCATAAACTATTTTAATTGGTGTTATTTTAAAGAAGAATCTGTAGGTTTTAAAAGTATATTCTGAAAGATGTGCAGACAAATATCTGGAATTCGTAACAGGTGAGAGTGAAGGAGCAGGTGGGAGAGAGAACGCAACAAGAGGGCGCCGAAGTCAGGAGGCGGCAGGGAGCTCGTGCGGCCAGCCAGCGACTTCCGCCAATGTTTGAATTTTCCATAATAAGCCTTTTTTTTAAGTATCAAAAATTACTTTTCTATTTATTTTCTAGGTTGCTTTTAAAAACAGGACAGTGATCTTTTTTATTCCTTCCACCAAGGAGACAAACTTTCAACCTTTTCAGAGAGTACTGTGTTTAAAAAAAAAAAAACCCTACAGAGAGTCCTACAAGAGAAACTGCTCACAGGAGTGGGCGGTGGTGTGACCCCTTCTCCCAACTTCCCCTTTTCGCTAATATGTTGCCTAACAGCTGAGGGGAGGGAGCAGCGGTTTCCTCACAAGTCTGCGCTCTCATAGGAAACTGCTGCAGCTGGTTTTCTCCCAACTCAGACTAACGGCAGAGAAAGCGAAAAATAAGCGGAGATAGGAAACTCCAAAGTTGCAAATAGTTATTTTATCCTGGGACATTAGTTCTCCAAGAAAAGTGTTAAAAGTCAGCTTCCCTTGTAAAAACCTATCTGACAGAGGACTTGAGATCGAGACACTGTTGGTTACCGTTGTTGCGGCTTGGCAGGCCCCATTCCATTTCAGATTTCCGACATACAATGATCATTATACATTGCAAAGTGTCTCTCTGTACTTCTAGGGAGGAGATGTGAGGTTCAGTCAGCTAAAGACTGTGAGAAACCGGCTGGTCTTCTCCAGGTGACTTGACCCTCTTGTCTAGCTTGCACTTATTAGGTCACTAAAAAGCTCCCAGCTCATCTCCCAAGTTTTACAAACACTAAAATTAAAACATGGTGAATAGATCTGCCTCACAAGACGACCTATAAGAAAAATGTTAAGTGAAAAAAGCCCGTCTGAACCTTAAGTGTCACCACGTGGATTACTTTTAAATTTCAATTTTCAATTACAGTAGCAAAAAGGACAAACTCAGACAAATAAAATTATTTGGAAACATATAATAACCAGGCAGAAGTCAGTCTAAAAACTCGCAAAAAATTCCCATTTGTCTGAACCAATACTATTTTACATAGGGCCTTCCTTGCCCCAAAAAGAGTTTAGGGCAGGTCTCCCCATTTTAAAACACCTAAGTGGCTTTCCAGCTTCACATGCCTGGGATCTGAAGGCCAAGGTGGGGACCCAACCTGCGTAACCTGGGAAGCCGCACGACAGGGTGGAGAGAGCACTGGACTGGGTGTCTAGTCCCGGCCCTGCTAGCATCTTGCTGAGACCTCCACAATTGTCGCTAAAATGGGTGACTGAAACTGTGCGAACAGGAGTAGCGGCAGCAGCAGAAATAGCCACCTTTTATTAAATACTTATTATGGTTTAGGCAAGTAAATACTTCTTATGTGTTGATGGTCTCATTTAAACTTCGCACGAACCCCACGAGGTACCTAACACTATCCCCATTTTGCTAATGAGGAAACCGAGATGCACAGACCATAGAGCTAAGAACTGGCAGAGCTGGGATCCAAACTCCAGCCTATGCCCTTTATCCCAATAGTGTTCATCGAATAAGGTAAAAACTACAAAGCAGCGTACAAGCGCCAGGAAGAACTCAACTTCGCTTGGCCGTGGCATGGCAGCTCGACAGGCCTCTGCTCAGTAACAAAGACGGCACAGGTTAAGCCAGGGCTGCATTTCCCCAGGCGTCCGCCTGGCCTTTTATAACATTTCCCATAGGGACAACCGGGCTCACAAAGGAACAACTGGGACTGCCATGAATTCCTAGTGACCCCAACCCACAAGACAAAAACAATCCCTACTGCTCATGTCTCCATCATGGACAACAGTATTTGCACCCAGGGCTTTGATATCCGTTACCACGTTGAATACAACACTCCCGCGAGGCCAGGGTCCAGATGAGGAAACAAGCTCTGAGAGATTAAGTGATCTGCATGAGATCAAAGGAACGCTGGTAAGTGACAAGAGTGTACACGTGGACCCCAAACTTCTGACTCCAGATCTGCTGCCATCTCTGCTCACAACACGAATTCCACGGAACCTCTCTGGGACAATCTCCAAGGAACAAGACATCATGGCAAACCAGCAGGTTAAGATCAGGGAACATGGGGAGCAGAAGGGAGGACCACTGGTGTCTATTTTTACAGTTTTGTTCGTGTGGGAGTAAGATAAGAAAAAGAAAAGAATTTTGGGTCTTCTAGCCCCAAAATGCCAATAAAATAGAAACAGAGGCAAAGGGGGGTGAGAAACCCGCTCCACAGAGCCTGTCTGCTTCGTCCCACAGGTGCTGCGAGCGACTGTAAAGTCTCTGTGTCTCAACCGGGTCACCTCACAGTGGACTACACTCAAAAGGCCGTTACCTTGAAGTGTTCCTTCTCCACAGCGGGGTGCCCTGCAGAGCCCCCAATGAGCCTGTGGTTTCGCTATGGTGCTTACCAGCCTGAGAGCCTCTGCTTGGACGGATGCAGAAGTGAGGCGGACAAATTCGTAGTGAGGGAAGCCCTGGCAGAAAAGCAAGTTTCTCTCACTGTAAACAGACTGGCTTTCAATGACAGTGCAATCTACATCTGCGGAATAGCCTTTCCCAGTTCAAGGGACTCGAGAGCGAAGCGAACCGGAGAAGGGACCACGTTGGTGGTTAGAGGTCAGTCACTTGAGGCTTTATTCCAGAATGTTACATTTTGCTCAGCCCTTTAAATGCTCTACATTACTCATATACAGAAATTATGAGATAAATCTGTAAGGCATGACCTGAGCACAAACCAACAGAAAGTTTGGTTAAAGAACTACTCTGACTCCAGCTCCCAGCTTCCGAAGACACAAAGTCAGGGTTGTGTTGGGTGCTGTATTCTCTCTCAATGTCCAGATTTTACTAGTGAAGGTGGACCACCTATGTCCTCCTTTCTGTATATTACAGTGCTTGTGTAATGTACCAAGTCCAAAGGGAAACCTGCAAGGACTCACTATCAGGTTTCTTAGGAACCGGTCTGGTATTGCACCATCCAGAACAAAGCACTGGAGAAGCATAAACAATCAATAAACTGGACCTCCCAAAATATGCATTATGGAAAATAAACACAAATCTGGGGAGAATCCACTGGGGGATCCCTGACCCTCTCATTCTGCATGTATGTTGTCTAAATTGAGTTCACAGGATAAGCATCTATGGGATATTTAGTTGAAATGTACAGGTTATTCAGATAATAATTACAAATCGAATTGTATTTTATCCTTCAAATAATCAGGTACTTTAAGACATGGCACGTTACTCCATCCCTACCTAGAGCACAGGATACCTCCTGCAAGGAGGGAGAAATTCAGAATGTGAAAACGGATTCAACAATTCTACTTCCCAAACCTTGTTAGGAAGAAGGGGCAGATGTAACAATGCCTGTCTCTGAGTATGAGTGAGCACTAAGGTTCTCAGTGTACGGCCTTCTCAGTTCTTTACAGACCGCAGTATTCCGTTATGGATATGAAACAGCTCAAAGCTATAAATAGCAGCATTAACAAACACTTGGGAAAATATCTTAACTCCATAAACAGACTCTTGGTGACACTTCTACATCATTTCTACCAAAAGAAATGTTAAATGCCCTTGAACAAACTGTCTTAAAACGTTCATCTAACTTTAAAATGCTTTATATAAAAAGTGATTCCTAGCATCATGAGCAGTAATTAATTGAATTTAAAAAAATTTTTGGTTTTAAAAATGAGTAACATTTTTGGTATAATATATTTAAAAACTGATGAACTGGCTTTAATTATATCAAGCACTTGAGTGTCTTTTGAATCAAGAGACGCTGAATCAATGTTCAGGTGAAGAGCCAGCAGAGGCAGTTCATGTCCCCTCTGACAGGCAGCTGCAGTCAGACTTCAAACGTGTGTTTGCGATAACGTTTCAATCGTGACTGAGACTCTCTGTTTTTGTGACAAAGAAATTAAGGTTCTCAGTAAGGAAATGCAGAGTGTCCTGATAGCTCTCTTATCACTGCTCTCTATCTACGTCACTGGTGTCCTCGTGATCTTCATAGTTCTCTCCAAGGTAAGTCAAATTTCTTTGTCTCAGCTGTCCCAATAGCCTTGAATACTATCATAAGAAAATAACTCTCATCTCTCTACACGTGAGCCTCACAAATAGCTCACCTAATTAACATCTTCCTGTGCACCTGCAGGAGAGATCACCTGCAGGAGAGGTCTGCAGAAGAAAGCAGACATTTTCCTCACTGAAATTATTATTAACCAGAGTACACTATTTATAGTGTTTTCTCCTTAAAACCCAGTAATATGGGAATAGGAGACTCTCCTTTATAACCATCTGATATGCTATCTTTCTGCTGGGGGGAAGGCGGGTTAATGTTATCTATGAAAGGCCTAAGAATAACTTTTAAGAGCAAAAAGGGGTTAACAAAGAGATCAGAAGCTGCCTTAAATTATTTTTTAAAGGCCTGAAGTTTTTAAGAAAGAATATCTTCTGGTTGTTTATAGGCTATAAGAGGGGGAACATATGTGTTATATTAGGATTACTATAAATCCTACAATCGACATCAGTTTGAGTTATTAGTAAAATCTCAGAAATGACATGAAAATTATTAAATCTTACTGCATATCATCTAAATATTATGTTAGTTGAATCTTATTATGGTATGAGATAGCTGCCATCATTGTTCTGAGTGCACAAAGTGTCTTATAAGACTTTCCTTTTCTTCTTGACAGTCGAAATCTAACACTCTAAGAAACAAAGAAACAGAGGACTCACAAAAGGTACAGACCAACGCTTGTAAAATATCTTCTAAATTGTGGCTGGTTCTAGTTATTTCAAATCTGAAATAATTTAAGAAACACAGAGAACACCAGGGTGACTTTCAACCTTGGATGCTGTGTCCTATTGCTGAGAAACTCAGTGAGAATCTCCAGTGGTAAACTGTCATTTAAATTTGATAGTTCTCAACCATAAATTCTACTTAATGTACTTAAAATACAAGAGTGAATGGCAGGTAGATGTGCTGGTTGGGGTGGTTTTGGAGACTGACGGCAGAAAAGAAGACAAAGCTCTGATGATGTACACCAAGCATCGCTTCTAGCCCTAAGGGAGAGAGACATTTTTTCTCTTTTGTATTTATAGAAGAAGAGCGCTCGGCGTATTTTTCGGGAAATTGCTCAAGAACTATATAGTAAGAGACACGTGGAGACAAGCCAAGAACCTGTAAGTGTGAAACAGCAAAAAGCTTTAATGCAGATATAAAGCAGGTTTGACTAAAAACACTAAGCTGCCAACAAGCCATCAATAATCATTAGAAAAGTCTGAAAGAGGACTTTCACATATAATGCATTTTCATATAGAACCTGTTTTGATAAATACATAACAAAGGACATCTGATATAATATTAACTAGAGACCAGGCTGGCATCTTAGTGACGTGGAATCTTTCAGAAACACACCAGATACAGGCAATGTTTTCAATATAGACAAGGCTGCTTTTGTGGATTAAAAGCTACTTTGTACAGTATCTAGCAGTGTAGTAGTAGGCATTAAGTAGATGTTGCAAACATTTGTCAAATTATATAGAAAACATTACTTGTTGCTAATAAAGCAGAAATAAACACATTAGAAAAGACTCAGCTAATGAAATAAAAATTCAGTATTTCTTCAGTCTTTGGCGTTGGAATGGTAGAAAGAATACATTATCTAGAATACATTCTGACAGTGTCTGGTTAAAGTCCTATATAAACAGGTTTTTCAAACAAGACGCTGTTTTAGAGCTGGTAGAGTAGATACTCGGCTTCCATGATGCATGATCAGACCACTCAAATTTAAATTAAAATGAATACAAAATAATGAACTTAAATACGACTAAGGATATTTTCCTCTTAAACAGCAGCCAGGAGGGCAAATGCAACAGGTTTCTGATATGAGGTGTGTTTTTTTAAATCCAACTTTTAAAAAGGATTTTCACCCAGGAAAGAATATTGTCTAAACAGTCATTTCATCCTTCTATTGAATATAGACAAATATGTAAAGAAATGGTCTAATTACCTAAGACACCACCCTGAATAATTAAAAATGCCTATTCATACTCTTTTCTTCTTGAGGCTGGGGCACCCTTTTCAGCAAAGAGGCAAAGTTAAGTGGCCTGAAGACGTGCCTGGAAGGAAGAACTGTCACACGTTCTAAGCCAGGGCTTTGACAATGGCATCTGAATAAGAAAATAAATTTTCAGTTCCCACATCTTACTCTAAATATAGGGAAAATGGTAGCTTGACCTTTAAGATTACTGGAAGAGTACTTATGTCCCAGAGTGAGAGATGGCACTGTGGTTTACATGTTGCTCGCAGTGTGGCATCGTTGGTTATCTAACCTTAAATATGGCTTGTTATTTACTATTGCAGGAGAAAGACAACACTTATGAAAACAGAAGAGTACTCTCCAACTATGAAAGACCATAGAAATATTTTAATTTTCATTTAAGTCACTGAAAATCCAACTCTACAAGTTATGCAGTATTAATGGACATACACCCAACAGGGTTTTAAAGAAACAACCAAAGGTCAATGGAAAAGACAATTGGCTACAAGGAAGGAAGCCAGAGTATAAGGAAACTGCAGCTCACAGTAATTCCCAAAATACTAAAACCCACCGAAATGTAACTGAAAAATGCTGCCCTAATTTGCTAGGAGAATTCTAAGCAGTCTAACATTTTCACAAACTTCCATTTTTACAACATATATCCTCTATTTATTTCACTCAACCTACGAGGTGCGTGATGACTGCTACCCTGAAGGTCTGGAGCCACACCACGTGCCCTGAGCAGAAGAACCGCACCCGGGGGTGGGCGTGATGGGCCAGTCAGACTAAGCTGGGAGGGAAGGGGAAAGAGGCGAGGAGGAAAGAAAGTGCCCACATTTGAGTCAGCGAAAATCATCTTGAAAACTACCTTGGAGCAAACGATTCCTCTGGTATTGCCATGGGGCAATGGTATAGTGCACATTTTCCTGCCAGGGTATACAAAATCACTTACATCATGCCGCCAACGAAAAGCAAGACTGGAAGAGAAGAGAGTAAGAAAGCGATAGCTACAATATAGAAAATCCAAAGCAGAAGGTTAAACAAAGAAAACCTCAGAACAAATAAGCCACAACCGACTCTAGATGTCAGTGTTGTGCCAAATAGCACCAGGGTAGGAGTGGGCAAGGCACCGTCCTTGAAGGCGCCTCTGCAATACTGATTTTTAACCAGTTTAGGAGGGAAACATCAGATACCAGGCTGAGCACAGCAAAGATGTTTATGGAATTCATTACCATCTTACTAAGAAAACATGTTATGGATTGTTCTTTGAAAGCTACTTTGGCGTAAAAGAATCTATTTAAACTACCCACAAGTATGTGTTCGTTATTAAACATGAATTACAACTTATTATGTTTATTTCATTAAAGTGTTTCTTTTAAACTGATATTAAGTGAGGTGTACTCTTATTTTCAAAACCCAGACAGAATTTTAAGATATTTTAAGATCCATGGTTTAAATTAGTGATCTCTAACCTTTCTAATCGCATGTGCCAAGAAAAATGGGGGAGCATATAACTCCATTTTATTTGTGTGTATGTATGTATATCTATGTGTGTGTGAGTGCATATGTTGTGTATTTGTAAAGTGGATGCATATTTATGTATGTATGTCTGTATATTTGTGTATCTTATACACAAATATAGAAATTAAACAATTAGCATAAAAAGTGATATAAATAAAAATGCTAATATTTTCTTCCTATAGCCCCAAATAAATTGCCTTGCGTACTCCCTGGGGTACATAACCGCCACTTTGAGACCACTGGCTTGGATGAAATAAATGAACTTCTAAACCAGGTGGCAAAAAGGGTCAATGCTGACACCATGTAGGTGAATAGAAGAAGTGTTGGAATAGATCATTTACTTTTCATTTCATTACCTTTTAGTACTTCCGGGGCTGAAAATATACTGTTCTTTGCGTAACTAACAAGGAGACAAAATCCCTAAGATAAACTAGTACCTGACTCAGAATAAGCCTTTCCCAATGCAAACAAGGACTGTGTTTCAAAGAGTGATTTTTGAGCTGAAATTTGGAATACACTTTCCCAAGGAAAGCAGTTCCAGTCCCTCAGGTCAGATGTAAGAGTGCCTGATGTATATACAACATTCATTCTTTTATTCATCCATCGAGCCAACCACACTTACTGAGCGCTCTACTACTGCAGTCAAAGGCCTCTTTGCAGGCCATCCTTGGGTCACGCTGAACTTGTCCTTCCACAACCTCACTCTGTTCACACTTCATGCTTTTCACATGCTGTTCCCTCCACCTGGGAAAACACTTCACAGACACAAACACAGCTCATATGTCACCTCTTACATGAAACCTCCTGTAACTGACCCAGCAGTCAATATTGGGTCTTTCCTTCTCTAAACACATAGTGCTTTGTCATTTTTCTTATCTGACTATCCTGCCACGCCTGTTTACATCTGTCTTCTGGACTAGTCTGTAAGGATTTTAAGACTAGAAGAACGTTTTCATTTATCCCTGTATTTGCACTGCCTAGCACTACCTGGTACACAGTAGGCTCTCAAATGCCTTTATATGAATACAACTGAACAATCTTTCTATAGAAAAATATTTTTTCAGCATTTCAACTGAGATATGAAGCATACTTCACACTCTAGCCATCAACCTTCACTCTTCTCCATAAGGACTGTCTGTTGAATCCCTAACGGTATTAATTTTCCTACTATGTGAGCATCCCGAATTTTCGCTGAAAATGACTAAGCTATAGCTGTCTGTTTAGATTTGAATTTCCCATGACAATAAAAATATTGACAACAACTCAAAGATGGAAATGGACAGAGACGTAGTTCTAGTGTCTACGCACCGACCTTCCAGACAAGGGCATTTAAACCACATACCAACAGGATTTTCACAATGAGTAATTTCTTTTTCTCTACTATGGAAGACTGGAGAGAATCTGAACCCCTGGCTAACACATACAGTTAAGTCTCCGTGGGGTCAAGTCACACAGACCGACGGAGAAGGCACAGACTTCGAGGGAAGTTAAAACGCAGACATCAAATTATGATGCTTATTGTTAAAAGGGTTTCACAGGCAGATCTAAACCACATTGACAAACATTTCAAACTGTGAACAAATATGATAAATAAAACTACAAATAACAAAGTAACAGAATAGAATGGAATGAAATAAATCTAACATGTATCAAATACCAACACTGAGACAGACATGGTTGGGCACTATCCTCTAAATTACATTATTTAATCCATACAACAAACTTCAAGATAGGTGTTAGCCCCATTTTTACAGATGAAATACTTAGCTTAATGAGAGGCCCAGGGAGAAGGGCTGACCCATGTTTCAAACACAGGTCAGCCCTCAAAGCCCAAGTTCCTCCACAAACAGTCCTGCCAGTCTTGCTTATTTCTATTTAGACCAACAGGAGCTTTAAGACTAGACATGTCTAATTTAACCAGAACAATGACCCTGGAAGAAAGTGACAAAGGTACCAAGGGCTACCTCTCAAAAAGCACAGGGCTAGCTGGTTTCACAGGAGAATTCTACCAAACTTTCAAAGACCAGATAACCACAATGGGATTTAAACTGTCCCAGAGCACAGAAGAAACAATTTCCAAATTCTTTTTTACAAAACCAGCAGAACATTGATACCAAAACATGACAAACATAATATCCTCCAAATAAATAAAAGATCAGATACAGACCAACTATCATTTAACAATATTAATGCTAATATTTTTATTTAGAATTTCTGTAAATCCACTCTAGTGATGCATTACAAGAAGACGACCCCATCGAAGCCTGGAGGTGCAAGGGTGGATGTGTATTAGAAAAGTATATATTGACTTAATAGGTCAAAGGAGAAAAAACAGGATGACTATCTCACAGATGTTGAAAACATAGGTGATAAAATTCAACATTGATTCCTGATTTTTTAAGCTCTTAATAAAACAGGATTTAAAAAAATATGTATCTCAAGTCAAACAGCAAGCTCAAGGCAAAAGACAGCACCATATTTAAAGTAGAAGTATTTCTTCATTAAAGTCAAAACCAAGACAAAAATGTCTACCATTTTGTTAACATTTTCTGGAATTAACTACCAATTCACTTTGAAAAAAAAAAAGTCTAAAAATAACAAGGAAGTAGTAAAACCATTTGCAGATGCCATAACTGTGTATCAAGAAAATCTAAGAGGATCAATGGTAGAAACAATTTGAAACACTAAGATAATCCAATAAGGCAAATGGTTAAAAAAATTGGTACACACACAAAAATAACTGCTTGTGTAAGTATGTGTAATATCCATTCTAAGATATGATAGAAAAGCCATCTGCTACAACATGGCTGAAGCTGGAAGATTTTATGCTCAGTGAAACAAGCCACACACAGAAAGACAAATACGGTATGATCTCACTCACATGTGGAACCTCAACAAGCCAAACTCGCAGAACCAGAGCAGACAACAGTGGCTGCCCAGGGGCTGGGAGTGGGGGAAACGGGAGGATGTGGGTCAAAGGATACACACTTTCAGTTGTAAGATGAGTAAGTTCTGGGGATCTAATGTACAGCATGGTGACTACAGTTAATAAAACTGAACTGTATACCTGAAATTTGCTAAAAGAATAAATCTTAAGTGTTCTCATCACACATACACAGAAAAAGGTAACTATGTGAGGTATTGGATATGTTATTAACTTGACTGTGGTAATCACTGCACAGTGTATACCTATACTAAATCATCACGTTATATACCTTGAATACACACAATTTTTATTTGTCAATTATATCTCAATAAAGCAGGAAATTTCTTTTAATTTTTGCAAAGTGTGATGGAAGAAAAATTCCTATTCACAATATCACACATACACACACACATCCCATTAGAATAAATCTAACAAAAATTGTGCAAGACCTTTAAGAAGAAAATTTTATGATACTAAAGAACAAGCAATAGAATAAATTGAAAGACACATCCTATTATTAGCTAGGAAGACTCAATACTCCCTAAACTAACTTATAAATTTAATATGGGGCAGTTAGACAAGCTAGTGCTAAAGCTGATCTGCTAAGTCAGTCAAGAAAAATCTAAAAGGAACTGATTGAGGGGGGACTAGTCCTGGGATATTAAAGTGTGTGATAAAGGTACAGTAATTAAAATAGTTTGGTGTTGGCACACACACAGATGGATTAAATCTTAACAGGACAGAACCAAACACATACAGGACTTTAGTCTCTGATAAAGGTGGCATTTCAAAGCATCGAGAAAGAGACGATTTATTCAGTAACTGGTGTTAGGATCACAGGCCAGCTATGGGGAAAACTTCACTCTTTAGGAAGCAGTTCCACTCCTGGAGATGCATCATACAGGTAACCTTAGATCTACTTCCTTCAGATCTTTTCTCTATGCCACCAGCTCAGTGAGGCCCTTCCCTGAGCGCTCTCTTTAAAATTACAGCCCCCAACCCAACTCCCAATTCCAGAGCCCCTTTCTTGCTTTTAGTGTTTACTTCTCTTCATAACACTTATGACCAACAACATGCCATTTGTTTACCGTCTGTCTCCCTCACTAGAACATAAGCTGCACGAGGGCAGGGATATTCATCTGTTTGCTGCTTACTTATCTCCAGCACCTAGGCACTCAGTAAACACTTTTTAAATGAATGAAGATACTCTGTGGCATGAGTATTCAGCAGCCAATTCCCTCCCACTTTCACTTCGAGCTCAGCTCCACAGTGTAAACAAATGTGCTCAGGGCAGATGACTCCCTCCACAGACCTGGAGAGTGCATCATGATGGTCCTGAATCCCTTGCCAGTTGCTGCCTGGGCAGGGACACATGCCCCCATCCTTGCCAACAGGACCTGCAACGCAGTGTGCTAGGGAGGTTTCTGGGAAACATTTCTCTCACTAAAAAAAACAGAGAGATGTACAGGAGAAAATGCCTCTTTCTTTTCAAGATTTTGTCATGCCTACACATGATGCTTGGTACGACATCAGCCATTTTGCAATTTTTTTTTTTTTAAAGATTTTCTTTTTTCTTTTTTCTCCCCAAATCCCCCCCTGGTACACAGTTGTATATTCTTCGTTGTGGGTCCTTCTAGTTGTGGCATGTGGGACGCTGCCTCAGCGTGGTCTGATGAGCAGTGCCATGTCCGCGCCCAGGATTCGAACCAACGAAACAGTGGGCCGCCTGCAGCGGAGCGCGCAAACTTAACCACTCGGCCACGGGGCCAGCCCCAGCCATTTTGCAATTTTGAGGGGAATGTTGGCATACTGAAGATAAAGAAAAGCAAGCAAGCTCTGAACTTCAATGGAATAGTTTTATCACTGAATTAACCGACCTTGGAATCACTTTTCCAAAATAAAATCAATTTTTACAAGCTACTTTTAGTTGCTCCTTC